TAGGATAGGATTAATTGTAATCGAAATCGAAATCTAAATATAGATATAGAACATTATATCGTGAAAAGTATATTAATTCGTAAAAATAATTGATCACGCAAGAAGATAGATTTAACATTTGAACTCCGTTCCGATCCAGAGAAAATTTACGGCACGACAACAATCAGCTTCGACGAGATTCGTCTTACTTTTTTTAGGCGTTCGTGCTACTATCCTCGATCGACGTCAGGGCCGAGAAGAAGAATCCAAAGGACAACGCGAAGCTCGTGTCTAATGATCGTAAAGAGAGTAACGAGACGGATGCCACGTTGATGAGCGAGGATCTCAAGAACAGGACGGATCAAGCACGAGAGAGCGTGAGTGAAAATAAATTTCCAAGTACTTTTTTAAGTAACGCTTAAACGCTCGAGTTGGCCGGGTTAATTGCAATTAATTTAACGTGTTAAACGTATCGTTAACACGTTGACGAAAGGATACTTGTATAGATGCACCTATACCATTTACCGTTTATTGGAGAAATTGACGATCGTGGTGCTCTTCCAATTTATTATCCTTTCATAGCGTCAATAAAAAAGTATTTGAAACCGCGTAATTTGATGAAGAATAATTGTTTCGAGATTGTTGAGATTGAAAAAGAAACTATGTTGCATTTCTCTGTCAAAATGTTACTCGACAGAGGTTGGAAAAGGTTCGTGCCCTTCTGAGCAATGGAAGCCGACAAAATGGCAGCAGGGAGGTCGTGCTGTCGAGAAGTATGGACATTGCCAAGATCGTATCTGATGATGCCACTGGTGACGAGGAATCGGTGGAAGAATTACCCGAGGTAAGTAATATCGCGAATTATAGTTATTCGATACAATTTTTTTTTTTTCAATGAAATAGATTATTGTCAAAGTAAAACAAAGTAAACGAAGACTTACGAAGCAGAGCTGCGAAAGAAAAATACTTGTTGTTGTTCTCCATCCTCTTTTCGTTCCCCCACAATTGACCATTTTCTGAGAATGATGACACGATGATTATAAATCTTCCACCGTCCTCTATCTCGCAAGATGAATCTCTTATTTATTCGTCTCGACGACGAAGTTTCAACACCTTGTAAGGGAAAGTAACTCGTTTTGTACAAACCGTAAATATCGAGTAGCAGGCGGTGATTTAACTTCGATTTTACCATTACAACTGTACAAGGTTCAACGCACCTTGCTTGAGGGAAAAGGAAATTTCTGAAATTTTCTTTTTTTTTAAATACGTTTTCTTCCAGATATCGATATCATTGTACGAGGAGATCGACGACTGTTCGCCTCGTTACTGGGAAAGATTCTTAGAAAGTCACGTTTCCAGCCCCTTTCTATCGTAAATCACATCGAGGCGTACAATTTTGTCACATATGAGCGCCATTCCATATAATTATTTTCGGCCTTCTAACTTTCTGCTCTCAACTGCTCGCAAAAATCCGTCCTAGGAATAACGAAACAAGTTCACCGTTATGATTACAGATTTCTAAAATTATTACATACTTCTTCCTCGAAGAAGTCACGTTTATAAGAATATGTATAAAGTAAACACGTATAAAGTAAAAGACTCGTTAACTGATGGAATAAAAATAATTTAATGTCTTGAAGGAGCAAAGTTACGTTACGATCTCTTCTGATCTGAGAAATTTTCCACAGGAAAACTTATATTCCAAGGTATATGATAGGATTTATTTTCTTTTCTCCGCGAACACTTTCACGATGTATTTATCGTCACAGCTGGTCGTAATTCTCGTAAGAATCACGGGCAAACGGCATGTAAATTTCTCATAGGATGTTGAGACTTTCCTCTCAGGAAAGTTAATCAGAAATCAGGTGAAAATGTATGTACGAGCGTTGTTAAGTTGTTGATCGAGATTTCTCGACCGATAAACTGAAATTGAAATTTATCGTACAGTCCGTCCAATAAGAGAAGCAAAGAATCTACTCTAAACGATATGATCTACACATTTTCACTAGACATGGAAAGAATTTTAATTGAAGATATTCGTGTATTTATTACACAGCCACAAGAATTGAAAATCGTGAGACCCAATTTAAGGAAACGACCCGGTTATCGGCCACCTCCGAGAAGACCAGCCCCTTTAAATCGAAGAAACGTTTTCACAGGTATAATTGAAATAAAAATTCAACCAACAATTTCCAATTATACTACAACATTCGATAAAAAAAAAATCAAATTCACAGATCTGTCCAGATCATCTCTGACGAGACCACCTAGACGACCCACGGAAATAAAGAAACGAGATCCAACCGAGAAGGAATGTAATTTCTTCACAAAGACAGTCTGTCTGGAAGCTGTTGATTATCCTCAGTGAGTTTTGCTTCACTTTCCTTCTCCATTTACTATTACGCAATTAATCCCGTTCAAAAGTTGGACTTTCTCTAATGAACGACAATAATCCGTAAGTTAATTAATCGTCTCACAACGAAACGTAACTCGTTAAATAAAGCGGAAGAAAACGCTCTCTCTCTCTCTCTCTC